CCTGTAGTCCCAGCTACTTAGGAGGCTGAGGCAAGGCAATCACTTAAGCCCACGAGTTTGAGGTTGCTGTGAGCTGTGACCACACAGCACTCTACCTAGGGCGGTGACAAAGTGAGACTCTGTCTCAAAAAAAAAAAACCTTTCAAAGCTTCAGTTTCCTCCTGTAAAATGGGGGTAATCTGAGTACTTCCCTCACGGGGGGCATGAGGACTAATTGAGACTGTTTCTGTGAGGCAGTTGGCACAGTGCTTAGCATAAAAGAAGGCCCCAGGCCGGGTGTGGTGGCTCATGCCTATAATCCCAACACTCTGGGAGGCCGAAGCGGGTGGATTGCTTGAGCTCAGGAGTTTGAGACCAGCCTGAGCAAGAGCAAGACCCCATCTCTAAAAATAGCCAGGTGTTGTGGTGGGCACCTGTAGTCCCAGCTACTTGGGAAGCTGAGGTAACAGGATCCCCTGTACCCAAGAGTTTGAGATTGCTGTGAGCTATGACACTACGATACTCTACTGAGGGTGACCAAAAACCCCAAAACGAAAACAAAAAAAGGCTCCAGCACCTCAGACTGGTTTTCCTTGGAGCATCCTCAGTTATATGCTGGTGTTTGTCTTCATTCCCTGTTAGGTGGGAAAGGCGGGGACTACATTGGAATGACAAAAATGTGGATTTATCTGTTCTTGTTTGTTTTTTTAATTTGTATTGATTGAATATAGCAAGATGGAGTCTAGATTTGTGGACTCTCCCTTAAATTCACATCATAATGGGACTATTCACCATCTACTGGGGGTTATGGGGGTTTAGAGCAGAAAATAAATAGCTCATCCTCTGAAACTTGCAAATAGTAGCCTAACACTTTATTTTGTGTTTTTATGCTTTTTCAACTAGAAGTGATTGCTTTAAAATAAAACAAGAAAACCATAGTTCTTTAGGGGAAAAAAGTCTTAAGATTTTTTTTGAGACAGAGTCTCACTTTGTTGCCCTTAGTAGAGTGCTATGGTGTCATAGCTCACAGCAACCTCAAACTCTTGGGTTCAAGTGATTCTCTTACCTCAGCCTCCCAAGAATCTGGGGCTATAGGTGTCCACAACAACGCCCAGCTATTTTTATTAGAGACAACATCTCACTCTGGCTCAGGGCAGTTTCAAACTCATGAGTTGAGGCAATCCAGCAGCCTCAGCCTCCCAGAGTGTTGGGATTACAGGCATGAGTCACCACACCCGGCCTGGGGCCTTCTTTTGTGCTAAGCACTGTGCCAACTGCCTCACAGAAACAGTCTCAATTAGTCCTCATGCACCCGTGAGGGAGGTACTTGAATCACCCCGACTTTTACAGGAGGAAACTGAAGCTTTGGAAGGTTAGTTTTTTTTTTTTTTTTTTGAGAC